CCGCGCCCCCCCGGGGGGGAGGGGCGCTGCCTCTCCTGGCGTCTGCAGCCTGAGCCCCCTGCGGCTGCTGCGGCCCTCTGCTTCCTTGTGGCGCTGCACGGCCAGGGCCAGCAGCGAGTTCCCGGGGGCTACTGGCCTCCCTTGGATTTGCAAGGTCACCCCTCGTGCTACTGGCAGAACAAGACTGCACCAGAGGAGATTTCTTTGCCCCTGCTTTGGTTGGGGGCCACACTGTTGGCCTGAGCTTCAAAATCTTAACAGCGTCTCTCTTGTAGTTTTCTTCTGATGTCTTGATAATGGCACCTCTTTTATGAGCATCCTGAATCAACTCATTCCAGTCCCCATTTTCCTTTGAGAAAAAAAAAAAAAGAAAAGAAAAAGAAAAGAAAAAGAAAAGAAAAAAGCCACCCCCCCCAAAGAAGAAAAGCGTTATCAGAAAGAAATCAACACAAATGGACAGAGGTGTCAGAGGATGCACAACCCCTTTAATCAAGGTACCTGACACAACTGTCATGGAAACCACTGTTATGTTCCTTCTGGAATGGAAGAATCTTACGTTTCACTTGCAAAACAGCAATAGGCACTCTGGCTGCTGTAACACAGGGAAGGTACTTTCAGCCATCAGTGAGCTTACTACTTAAAAATGACAATTTCTATACCTATGAAGGCAAGAAGTGTTCTCTCATACAGAGAGTGAAACAGGAGCATGGCTTTAATGCCCTCTAGTGGCGCAGCTAACACCCCCCACCCTTGGAAAAAGAACAAAACCCAGTACTCTAAGGCATTAAGCCCATCCAAGAGCACTCCCTACACATGCAGGGGGCCTTTACAGTCCCCCATATCTGTAGCTGTTTCAGAAACACCCGTTTCAAAGAGAACAAGCAAAGAGGATCCTCAGAAACCACATGATCACACAAAGCGTCAAAAGCAATGATGATCTGACGATCAGGGGAATGTTTTGGGGTGGTTTGGTCTTTTCAAATCATTTTCCTTGCTCAAGTACCCAGCAACAACTGCAATAGCTGGAAGAACAGTAAGGATCAAGCAGGAAAGCATCTCTGCCGTTATCCTGCCTTACCAGTAGAGAGACTTTTCGCAGCCCCCACACTTGAATTGTGAAGGACCATGTTACAATTTAGTTACTAAAAATACTGTCAGAGTAATTTCTAAATTTATTTCCTGGAAGCAAGGAAAACAAACTTTTTTTTTTAAGCTTTTATGACAGTTACAGCCAAAGCTTTCACAGAGAACCCTTCAGAGGCCTGGACTGCACTAGCACACTAGGCAGGAGTCCCCCCCTTTCACAGACCGGAACAGTCTGAGGACGGTTTTCACTTCCCCAACCCTGACTTGACCCAAAAGGGTGGATCACAGAAGATCATTTGATTAACACTGTACCCACCATAAGCGTTTCCAGTCTTCCAAGGATGAAGAGGCTGAATCTGGCTCGGGTAATTGTAACGTTCAGACGCTGAAGACTCGCCAGAAACCTAGGTGACAGGACAAAACTAAGCTCCTAAACTACTACTTCCATGAGGTTTACGTGTTAGGAGAAAGACAGATAATACTCGGTTTCGGTGAAAGGAAGGTAACAGAAGCAGTTACAAAGGCGGCAGCTGTTCACGACCCACTCCCAGATCCCCCCGCAGCAGCCCTGCCTCACATGAAGGGCTTTGCATGAATTGTGTTTTCCTTCTTTCACCACGCTGACTCCTTGTGGGGAATTCCAGTTCTTTCCAGCTCTTGCCGTTGAAGTTTCCTTTCTTAGAGCAAATCCCCTCTTAATGCCAACCACTGCTTCCTTAAATGCTCCTCCAAGTACAGAGGACATCAACCTCACTTCACCTATCAAGACTTTAAGCTTCTTTTTGACTTGAACTGAAACAGATTAACAATATTTGGTGTGATTAATGGGAAAATTTTCTACTGAAATACTGAACGCTGGAAATTAATATTTTATTTTAAAGGTGACCTGCACTGGAAGCACATGAAGGAAGATTTTTGCTTTGTCATGCTTCAAGAGTGAAAAGTATATTCCCGCAGAAGAAAGTCTGTATTTGCTCTATGAAAATTAGTCTGTGGGATCACAAACCAAAGTACTGGAACCTAACCAAACAAACCCCTAGTGTATTCTTAAAGGTTGATTTCTGTTCAGGCTTATTTATCAAAACTCAAAAAAGGTTTGTGAAACTAGTATTGACTATTTCTTCTGTAATGAAACAGCTCCCGAAATGCACAGCTTACTCTGTTTAGTAGAGAGTAAAGGATCTGCAATACAAAGTCAAGTCCTTGTACAGTTTAGTTTGAGCAGGTCCAACATCAATGCCCAATACTGTGGTCATGACACCAAGACCTGCTCTTCAGCAAATTCACAACCCCCGCAGTAAAGAATGCAAAAGCCCCAGAGACATGCCAGAAAATTTGGGCAGTGCAGGGGGAAACAAAACAAAACAAAACAAAAAGGCAGAAGGCAGACTGGGGGAGTGGAGCAGCAAAGGTATCACAGTTCTCTAGGTCTTCAGGGGAGAAAAAATGGTGGTGGTGAATCTTGAAAGATTACTAACTATCCCTAACAGCTTTTAAAACAGAAAGACAACAAGATTATTTTCTTAGGAAAGGAACAAAAAATAATCTGGTGTCATTTCTTGGGAGTTTCCTCCTCCCTGTGCAAGTTACTTTCAGAGTTGATTTAATGCTGGACTAGCAACCTTGGAGGCCAGAACACTTTGCTCAACTGTAAGATCATAGGTGAGGGTGATGCAAACTTTCGCATCACACCTTGCCAACGACACCTGACCCTGAAACAGAGCTGTCCACATCACTGGTACGTAGAGCTCCTACGGCATTGCGCTGCCAAAGCTTTACTATGTAAACCTTCACCACAGTAAGCTGGAGAGATTTCTTCCAAAAGAACAGACAGAGGTTAAGTCCTGTGTCAGCCAAAAGAACTGGCAGGTTCCAGCTGCCTTCAGTTTCCAAACTCAATCAACCAGATTAAGAAATCTCCAAAATCATCATTGTTGTTTGCTATAGGATTCGGGTTCTTTCTCTTCCCAAAGTACCATGGATCAGCGCAATTAAAAGCCCTTTAGAAAAATTAGTATCAGAGAAACACAAGTCACTTAGTGAAACCTGATATGTAGAAACAAAGGGTTTTGTTTATGCGAACAGACTTCCCAGAGTTTAACTTAAAAACTACTGAACTGTAAGGCAGCATATTCCAACTACCATTTTTTAAACTAAAACGATCCACAAGTCACAGAAACAAGTCAACAACTGCTGTAGCAGTCTGGGGGTAAACAGCATGCCCAGTATCTAGTTCCTCTTGTTTCAGACCAGAAAAATCCACATAAAATTACCAAATATGGAATCTCGGCTCAAGGCTTCCTCCAAATCTCCTCCCAACTCAAAATACAAGCACATTCATCCAGAAATCAAAGATCCAGCTCATCTGCATTGCATTGCTACCAACATATATATAACTAGTTAACAACACTTTTACAGACAGAATCCTATATAATAGGATAGCAAGTCACAGAAAATGGATTTCATTTTAAGAGAACAGCAGTCAGAAAGTTCCAATATACATCAAAAGCTACAAGAAAAATAACTGCCGCAGTACTAATGCAGAGAGCCAAGTTCCCAAGACCAGTCCTGCCAAAAGGGAGCAGTGACAGGCTAAGGCAGCCACGCGAATTCATCAGCATGCAACGCAGAACACCGTACCTAGCACTTCCACGCCCCTTTTGTTCAGAGATCTCAAACCAGTAACATTAATTCACGCATTAAGATACCCTAGTTTGCTGGCTGTAGGGACTTGTTCTCTGTAACTTTCTTATTGGTCATATTAAAAACATCATGACTAGGGTGTCACTGGAAATGGGACTTGCAGATCACTGAGGAGGAGCATACCCAATTGACCCTTTAGTGTTGTTTGCCCGGACACACGTCACTATGATGCAGTCTTTCTCACGTCCCTGGAATGCATCCACTGTGTCCACTTCTCCTGGGCTGTTGAAGACAAAATTAGCAAGCTGTTAAATTATGTTAGCTGAAGTTTTAAGCGACTCACTGATGCAAGTAGCCTAAACGCTATCCTTAATGATCATGTCAAAATAACCAAGGGTAAATTTCTGCTTCAGCGTATGAAAAGATTCAGTATATGAACCTAAAGCTAAATTCATTTTTCTGAGGCCAGCATCATTATTGAAAAGCTGGTCAGGTCCATGTAGCTCAGGATTTTAGGTTTTCTTTTAAATCAGCAATATAATCAAAGCTTGTATACAGGTAATAACTGAGAAACGGTACAGAGAGCCCACGTGCCCGTTTTAAGCAAAAGACTTGCACGTCCCCTTTGAAGGCACAACTAAGCACAGATTTTAGTAGAACAGAAAAAGTTTGAGAGTTTGTGCCATTATTTTAAGAGGATAAACAAAGGACCAACACGCAAGAGCCAAGTCCCATTTGAAAACTCACAGTTTCTTTACCTGTTATTCCTAAACACTCTTGCAAGAGCCAAGTCCCATTTGAAAACTCAGTTTCTTTACCTGTTATTCCTAAACACTCTGTCCATTTGTTCTTGAATTTTCTTTTTCTGTGCGCTGTAAGGGGTAATTATTCCGAGGCGACGAAAACCCAGATCCTTCTTTTTTTCTTTAATTGTTCTAATTACTTCCATCACCAGCTTTACTTCCTGAGGATTACTAAAAGAGCTGAACAAGACAGAATGGAAATGTTACAGAAACATTTGACACCCCTTTCAAATTCAACACTTCAACCCAATTTGTAGGGGGGCTGCGAGTCAAAGGCCCCCGTCTTGAACTTTTGCAGCCTCCTTCACACAGAGCCCCAAAGAACTCTGCAAGCAGGCCCTGATGAGGGGCTAACAACAACGAGAACTGCTGGGCCTGAAAGGCTGCACTTCACATTCCCTTAGAACTACACAGCTTTGCCTTCCTTACAGATCAGGCCAAGGGGAGGACTGAGCCTGCCACCTTCTGGCGTTACCTCAGCCTGCAGCTGTGAAAGGCAAGTCACCAATCAAAAAAATAAATCAGGAACTCAGAAACTTGTTACTAGAGATAGCAGAGACTGTAAGCATTCACTGGCATCTAAGACAGTCAAACCAGGATTAAAACGAGTTTCAGCTTTTAAAAATAAAAAAAAAACCCCAAACCATCAAACCATTTAACATCTGCTTTTTTTGTAAAATCAAGCTGAAAACACAGTTCTGGCTACTTCACATGTATTAGGAACACTACAGAAAAGAAGACAACTCTTCTGCAGGTAATTTATTCTCAGCAAATTTAAAATTGGGGCGAGTTGAATGCAGGACTTACTCATTGTCTCGCTCCTCACAACCGTCTGCTACATCAAAAATAAGGTAGGGCTGGAATGGCCATTCTGAAGAACATCTGCTCTCTTCTGTTGCTCTGTAAGTAACATTTTTATCACTAGGTAGCCACACAGAAATTCTAAGAACTGATATTTCATTTATTTACACCACAGTTATCAAACACGAGCAGCTTTCAGCTTCCCTCCCACCCCCAAGTCCTTAATTTCCACCGCTACCTGCATATACTGAGGTGTGAAAATGAACTCTAAGCAGTATGCTCAATTTTAAGTGACCCACTTAACTTACATATCACAGCCAGCACTAACAAGAGGCGGAATGCAAGTTTCCTCCCATTAAGCATCTTCTCCCACACACAACCTCAAGACTTTTTAGACTCAAAAGAATATCCTGACATGAAAAGGTTCTCTGAAACACCCCCTGCTCAGCAAGGAGAACAGAGCCCTACTCACCTGTCAGTCTTCAGAGTCCTGCCATAAATATAGTTGGAGGGGAAGTGGCAGATGTCGGGGTGCATCCTGTACTGCACAGTCAGCTGCACAACGGGCAGGCTTCGCAAAACGTTCTTCTGCACTTGCTCCTCCAGGTGCCTGTGCAGGCGGGCCATCAAGGACTGATCGTAGCCGTATTCCTGAGCTTTCTGACAGAGGGAAAACTTCAGATTGACTTCGGGGGAATTAGGTCCCAGCAAGATCAGTTTCAAGCTACACCAGGGAAGCCTATAGAGGTTGCGCTCGCACATCTGTAGTAGCTTTATCCACGCGTTTGAAGGAAGCATTGATACAGTCTCCACACAACAGAGACTAAACTTGCAGGGCAAAAGTTACTATTATCTGATACATATCCTGATCTGACATTGAAGTGTCTGTTTTTCCTTTTACATATTTTCTATAAATACTGTTCTTATACTACATCCACTATATAGCGTGGGAAAAAATACAGTTTGAACACTTACCACTGATTTTACTGTAGGAGGAAGCTGTCTGGGATCTCCAACAAGGACGAGTTTGTTACAGCGATGGATCAGTGGAATCAGCGTTTCCACTTCACAGGACTGCCCTGCCTTTTGCATAAGTAAACAGGACAAAAAGTAGTAGTTGTAAGCAAAGGAGTGAACTATGTCAAATCTCCTGTAACAGAGCCAGAACAACTCAAAAGTTTTCTAAGCCTTCTAAAAAACAATTTAAAAGCGAGAGAAAAAGAAGGATTTTTCCCTAATAAAAAACTATAAACAGAATTTTCTTTTATGCAGAGACTTTTATTTTCAAATATGCAGAGGTCTCCAAACAGATTCAAATATAACCCAACCACCTGGAAATCTCTACAGCAAGAACCACACTTTAGTCAAGATTTTTAAGTAAGAGCTGTCTGCCATTAAAGCACCAAACAAGACAAAAAAGAAGCAATTCACAGCTATTCTTCCTTCTCATGGCTCTACCTAATGGCAGGACAGGCTGGTTATCAGTTAAAAGGTGGGGATGGGGCAGCCAACCCACAATACATTACTCCAGAAGCCAAACAATCACAAGTAGACTAAGCAGAGAACACGGCAGACCCCAGAGGCGGAACATGCTGTAGCTCTAAACAGCTTTACTGACCTCATCCACAATGACACAGCTGAAAGGATCAAGTCCTTGCCGCAGAAAGGTAGATTCCAGCAGACCTCCTCCACTTGTGCTCAGTGTGCAGCAGATGATGTCGGACTCCAAGATGATATCTGCCTGTACTTTCTGAGAGTGCCCCCGAACCTTCAAGTACAACAGGACATCATGTCTCCTCTCTTAGCTTTCTCGAACCACGTTAGAGCAATTTCTAACTGCCTGGACAATTCTAACTGCCAAACAGATCGTGCATAATGCATCATCCCAGTGAAACTACCTCTGTTATTACAAATGAAAGTCACAAGTTGACTTAACCAAAGTGTTGCTTTCACTTTAAATTACAGATCAATGCCACTGAGGTGGCAAACAGGAAAGAAGTATTCCTTTATCCCTACAGCTATGCAATCTAGACACACTAACTGCAAACAAAGTTCAGTTTGCCGTCACATTTGAAACTCCAAGCCTCCATGACCACCACGAGTCAGCGTATATTGGTTAAAGACGAACCTTCGTTCATCTCATGGTTTGTGCTACTCAGCCTTAACTACTGGTTTTGCTATCGATGCTTATTTCCACTTTCAGAGCTATCTATCTCCACACACGCACAAATTCTCAGTAAAGCAACAGCTGGAAGAAACATTTAAAAGTATCTCAATTCCCGTAGGACTGTAAGGGGCATGAAAGTGGTGATGATGATACATCCTACAACATGAGGACATGCACGTTTCCATTACTTTCTTTGCCAAACATCCACATTTACTTTAAAACTCACCCTGAACTGTAAGAGTAAATATTCCCATCTGATTTTTTTGCCGAGTTTTTTTGTTCAGTTGGTTGAGTTTTTTGGGGCTGTCATTGGGTTTCTTTTTTGCAACAAGCAGCCAGAGTACACCTGGATTTCACACCAGGCTGTCCATAACTTAGTCAGCTCACGACCTTTAATTCTTTACCTACGACTTTACTCCCAGACGCATGAAAAGCAAATCTCCACCACAACTGAATGATACTAAATCTATAAATGCACTAGCTGAGGTTTATTAAAGAGCTGCCTTAAAGATAAATTCCTACCTCCTTTACTCGAGAAGCAAGCTGTTGTCTCTCCTTTGAAAGCTTGCCAATTTCATCATCTAACATTTGACTCTAGATGGGGGAAAAAAATAAAGAGAAATCACATATTGGGAATAATTAACACCACACATCTCCCATATACATTTTCTCCTCCCATACCCTAACTCATTTCTAAGTATTGACTTGCTCAGATGGTCTTTTAATATCAAACGTGTCTGAAGAAGCCGATCAGTTTCTTACAAAGTTGTCAACGTATTTAGAGTTGCAACACACAACACCATGCCTTACATTTCTGTCCAACTGGGAAAACTGTTTACCATCAAAAATCTGATTTGAGCAAAAATGCTCGATTTTTAGACAAAAAACTAGAAAACTTCAAGTGCAACACAAATGCCCAAAATCTCAGATCACGAGGTATCTTAATATTTCCAGTTAAACAAAAACAGAGGTTTGAAGTATACAATCAAATGAAATCATTAGGATTCATAAGCATGGTTACACTAAAAACGAACTGGCGACAGAACCAACTGAAGACTACTGAAGTGGCATGCCTGACCAGTTGAAACACTAGTATAAATAAACAAAAAACTCCAGATGCAAAGTTCTTCATTCCCTTTTACGGCGCTAACCAACATTTCCATTAGTTGAAAAAGCAGATGAAGAGACAGTTACTGCTCAGAGGTGGCATTAAAAGGTAGAGCTCCTTACTCTTTGGATTCAGTTATGAACACAAAATACACAAACAGGATTAAAACCACTGTTCTCTTACTACCTCCCTCTTCCCACATCTGTGCCTGGCACGCTCACGAGACAGCATGTCTAGCTTTTGATCCAGAGCTGCTTTTCTCTTCTGAATATCCTGGTCACAGTCAGCTGGCTTTCGTTCTGTAATAAAACAAAGTAAAACATTCAGGAGGAACAGAAAAAACTATGTTACAATAACACTTGCTCTCAGTCACACATCTTAGGTTATTAAGAACAAACGGACAAACTCTTTTTTGGTTGCGTTTTCCCTTTTTCTATTGAGGCCTTATCTTGTAAAATGAAGATAATGAGACTTTGTTCCAACTGTAGCTCTCAAATCCTGCAGAGCCGCACTGCTTAAAAATTACAGCTTTAACATGCATTTATTGTAAGTCTTTTAAAAAAAACCCAACCAAACAAGAAGTCATCTTGTTTCCTTTGCTTTTGCTTAGATTTTAGGCTATATGTAAGCTGACACTTTCCCACTAAGACTGAGAAAAACAACGAAGCACTGTTACAGAAAAATCTTTTACCAGATCTTTCTTTTTAAAGGACACACAGTCCCAGGTGTAAAACATCATCAAACTTACAGACAACTGAAGAAAAGTCTGATTTGCATGTTACTTACTCATCCTATGTTCAACCTGCTTATCCAGGCTAAATCCCCGGACTTCGCTGTTGATTGCTTTTTCAGCACCAAGTCGCACTAATTTGATATCACCACAATTTCCTGTTTAGAAAATTAGAGTCAAGATACTTTCAGATTGTTCCAATCATCACTGCACTTCGGCATGAAAGGAAAAAAAAAGAAATTTAAACATCATGGACATCAAACAAGGCTTTTCCTTTTCTGCTTTTCAAGGGTTTGCAATAATTTACTTGTACTTATCTAAACGCAGATACAAAAGAAAAAGTTGCCTACGTTTTAGTGGTGGCCAAGAGTTAAGAACGTTATTTTGAAATGACAGAACCACCTCTTATTCTCAGGAATTCTGTAAGTTTTAGATAAGCCTAAGTTAGAAAATTACTGAGTACCATCAGTAACACTGCTGCTAAGTCAATACTGAATTAACATTTGGTTACAATGCGTGGGTTTTTTCCCTAGATGTCTTGTTCAGAATTCATCTACTTTGTATTAGCCACAAACCAGGAGGATAAAAAAAGTGAGAGGCTCCGACATGTCAAAATTTCCATCAGTCTGTTCAGCATGACCAACGAAGCCCAGCTTTATTCAAAAGCAAAGTAATAGTCTTGTGTTCAAATCTTGAAGGAGTACTTAAAAACTGGTGAACTGAAACTAACAGTATGAGGAAAGGGTTAACGGCTATATAAAAACAAAGTGCAATTTATTAAAAACCCCCACATAATACTCCTTTTTGAAAAGCACATTAAAATTAATAACAGTATGAGGATGTTGCAGTCATGTTCTGCAAGAGCAAAAAGCTGCTTAGAGTAACATACGTAGCATTACTACATGTAATCAACTGTTCCAGTTTCTCCTTCAGGTTTTGTCTATTTAACATATAAACAGAATTTTAAAATAAACCATACCCAAAGGCTCCTGTCTGTTTTGGCATTTTTCCTTAAATGCAACGATGATCTTTTTCATGAGTTCATCAACAGCAGCGTTTGAGGGTGCACAAACTAGAAAACGGTTTGGCTTGATCTTGGAATTTGGTCTTCGCGTTTTCTCATTCCTAGTGTTCTGCAGATTGATTAACAATAAACCAAAACAGGCTCTCTAGATGTTTGCATTTGTGATTTAAAAGCTGAAAAATGCTCACCTTAATCAGCATGCAGAGTATGGGGACTATTGCACTTCAGTATCTCTTAAGGTATATCTTACACTGAGAAGTCAACTGTATTAATGCTATCTGCATAAATTCCCTTTAATAATGATGTCCTTGATGAATCTACTGGATGCCAGTATGAAAACCATTAAATGGGACAGGCCAAACAACATCCTTTATACATCAAAATATTGAGGTTTTTTTATGTAACAAGCGTTTATACTACTGATTGTGCAAGCTTTCTTGATTTAACTTCTTAAGTTGTGTAAAGTAAGTTTTCTAAGATGCCCAAAAGGTATTATTTCCACCTTTACAACCCATACAGAACAGATTTAATTAAGTCAGCTTAATGAATTACACCCCCAGTAACTATGAACACTACACTTCCATTTAGTTTAAGCTATCATTGACTTCCATGGCGAAGCCAAACGCCAGCACATAGCAATCACATCGCGTTCACTTACTTCTCTCAAAACACGACACAAAAGTCCAACAATAGTTTTTGATTTCCCTGTTCCAGGAGGTCCGTGGATGAGGCAGATCTTGGGAAGCCCAGGATGTTGCTTTACCATGGCATAAGCTGTCTCAATGGCTCTCTTTTGATCTTCATTATATTCGTTCATATACGATGCCTGAAGGAACAGTTGAAAAATAATCAATTACTTAATGATCAAACCTTCCATGTTCATTTTTTATGCTTTCAGAATGTCCCCCACCCCTCTAGCTACAACTCAAACTAGAAGGGCATGGAAGCTTTAAAAAAAGAGTCGCAAAAGCTGTAATGAAGGTTTCATTTACTCTACACAGCTCACTTTGTATTACCTTTTCCATGCTATGCCTTATTTGCTGAACAGACACCTGTCCAGTAAGGAAAAAAAACCTGACAGCTGCTTGAAGTGCACTACTAGTATCTCTGTCAATACAGCAAACACCTGAGCAAATTCAGACTCCTCCCTAGCCACCCAATCAACCAGCTCCGAGAAGCACAGCGCCTCAGTGCTTTTGAAACTTGTCTGGTTGTCCTTGGTCATCTCAAAACACAGCATGCAAACCCGTTTATGCAAACCTCATCGAGATCCAAATGCCCGCTCTGTCACCCCTAATTAGCCCTTCTAGATGCAGGACTTACAGCACATCTTTCTGAAGCCATGGGCAAATCTCTGGGACAGAAGTCATTGTAGCTTGGATTTATGATGGGTTTAGCCAGGGGACTCCTGCTCAATAGCAGCAGACCTTTGAACGTTCGGTGTACGGTCACCAGGGAGCCAACCACCACACACTTCACTTGCTTATTTATGAAGAATGACAAATTGCCTCGAGTTTGCACAGAAAGATGACAGACAGTATGCTGCTCCTTTTGTCCTATTAAAGGGGAAGGGAGGATGGAGAGAAAAAAAAGAAAGACCAGAAGTTGTTCATTCAAAGAATATCCAAATTATCTGAAAGATATTCAAACAGGTCGTTCAAAGAATTCACCAGAGCTAGGTGCTGCCTTCTGTTAGGGAGCCAACAATGAATTCTTGCAAAAATCCCAAACACTATCCCCCTCCCAAAAAAAACAATCCCCAAAACCAACCAACCAAACCCCAGCGCTCTGCAAAACACCTCAGATCACTATTTCAATCAGGCAGCATTAATGTTGATACTTGGTAATCCTGGCAATTCACAACTTCAGTTGCCGAAGACTGAAAATTTCAGTCAGCAAGACCACTGAAGTTCAAGGCACTTTGTATCTCAGATGTATGCGGAGAACTTACTCATCATTAGTTTCAGTTCTTACACAAAGAATTAGCATCTACATCTTGAAGGAAGTCCCTAGAAAAATGCACGGAATGCAGGTCTGCAGCTTCAGTTCCTGGCTTTTTTACAAAGCTTCTAGCATGGAACATACATGCCTCAGTGGAAAAACAATCCCATTTCTTCCAAGGTAAGTGGTATCTTACAATTATCAACAGCCAGCCATGAAGAAGTATTCTATGGTACCAAGAAGAACCCCACTTTTATTTCAACCCCATTTACTTACTAGTTAAACAGCCAGACGCAGAAGAAAATCGTGTCACAAGACCAACGTGATTCACCATGTGGTTCTCCATCTCACTTTCTTCCCTAAACGTGTCTTTTTTCTTTTGGACCACCAAAAAGATTAAGTCATCCTCCTTTGGATGAAGTTGCCTTGCCAAATCACTTTCTTGAAAATGAGCTGCTCAAAATACATTTTACAATTAGAACATTAAAAGCAAAATGGTTACAATCGCTTTCTGACTATAGAAGTACTACGATTAACATATTGCATATACTTCAGTAATACCCATCTGTTAACTTTTAAAACTATTAAAAGCTATAGCAAAAGACTACGAAGACTTTTAACTCCATCCTGCATCCTTAAGCCTGAACACAGCACTGTGTAAAAACAGAGCAAGTGAAGCACTACTTTATTTACCAGAAGCTGAAACAAAATCCCAAATGAGTGAAACGGAAACTATTCCTAGAGCAATCAATAACTTTTTGTACCAAACACTGAAGGCATAAATTTCCTGCAAAATACATATTCCTCTTATGTGCATTCTCTAAAATAGCCAATTCAAGATCCTTTCTGTATCTAAAGCAAATAAAAAAAATTCTACCTGTAAGTGCTAGCTCATTATAAGGCACTGCCTACTTGAAAATTAGATGAGGGTTTTCTAAAAAACCAAACCAACCAACCAACCTCTTACCTGTAAAATCTGCTGTATTCAAGTCAGCACAGAAGTTCTGTAAGTAGAAGTAGTAACTCTTCTCTTTTACCCTCTGGTGTTCTATCCAGTCTTGTGCCAGCTAAGTGTTGGAAAGTAAAAGCTAAATAAAAATACTTTGAAGGGTTTAGTGTATTAGAAGGGTAGCTTATCATGACTCAAAGGGCAAACATGCTAAGCAGAAATAAAAGAAAGCTAACAGACTGTCAAGTACAGGGTATCAAAGAGACTTAACCTTCTTTTTTTTTTTTTAATACATGCATACACATTACACACACACACAGCGGGCACGTGAGCGCACTTCCTCCCCACCCACCCCCTCATTTAAGGTATCCTACATAGCTCAGCAAAACAAATGTAGGTTCCCTTCGACTGCATTTTCACCTTAAAGTACCAGCATTATCCTACTGTTGACTTCATTTTCTACCTTATTTCTACCACAGAAGTGATGCAATAACTGAACTTGAGGCATATAGACTTTAACTGAAGGAACACTGCGTTTTCTCATTATTAAATGATAAAGTTAAGCTGTTTGGAAAAAACTACTTCTCAGATTAACCTACCCTCTCACATAAGTTCTCAACATAAAACATTAGGTTCTTACCCTCTTTTTACAGACATTGTCATTGAAAGACCTCAGTTTCTTAAACAAAGATTTCTGTTTTAAGCTTCATATGCTATAAAGAAAGAGGAACTACCTTTTCCCCTCCTTTTGTAAGCTATTGTGGTACTGTCATTGAAAGACCTCAGTTTCTTAAAGATTTCTGTTTTAAGCTTCATATACTATAAAGAAAGAGGAACCACCTTTTCCCCTCCTTTTGTAAGCTATTGTGGATGGGCACCCCAAAAATAAGCTTCCATGAGGTAACACTGACAGTCCCCAATCTTCAACATAACTGTCTTATTTCCCCCAAATCATTCCTCTATTCTGATCTGTATCAGAACATTTCCAGTCGGTAAACAGAGAACGTAAAACAGTTTTTAATCTCTTTGTAAAATTTACTAGAGTTGACGAAAACAAACCAAGAGGGAGACAGCTACTTACTGTTTCAAAGGCATTTAGCATCATCAAGGGGAAAAATGTATTAAAATAGTCATTGTATCCCTGAAATTGGACAGGAACAGAGGCTACTACGGACTGCAGGAGATTACTTGGAGGTCCAAACTGGCTGCTTGCAAACATTTCGTAAGTCCATTTTAGGACTTCATTAACAAAAATACTATGATCACGCTGCTGGGCACCAAGAAAGGTAGAATGATATGCTTCTCGGGCAGGCCTTCTGGAAATATTTGAAGCATTCTCATACTGTCTACTTTGTGACCAGAGAACGTTATTAGAAGTACAGGGCTGAAGCACATTACTGAAACTCGGAGACTTGCATGTTTGATTTCCCGTTGGCATAGCCTTTGCGCTTGGTGGCCTGACCACCAGTTTCGCCGCATTCACTTTGCTTTTTGAAGCTGGTGGTGGCTTTTTAACATCTTCGAGATCCTTGCTGAAGGCTGCATTCCGTGAAGAACTTGTGGAGCTGAAAATTTTGGTAGTGGAAGGCTTTCTTGTTTTAGAAGGTGGCAGGAGAGGTTTGGCAAACAAGTGATCTGCTTCTGAGCTGGTGGCTGAATGCTTACTGCAGCACTCTCCTGGTTTTTCCACTTTTTCTGTACAGTCTTTGTACTTACATTTATCAATAGGGAAGGATTCATTCTGCTGAAGGTTTTCAGCAGTATCCATATCCTCTGGTTTTTTACTAGCTATAGTAGTATCTTGAACACTCTCCTCCTGGGAACATAATTCCATATCCACAGGATCTAACTGAGTTAAAAATAAATCATCATCATCATCATCTTCACTGTTTTCATTTGGTTTAGACCCATTTTCTTTTGAAGTTGCCTTTTCACACTCAGGCTGGACAATGCAACCTTTTCCTGAAGGTTCATCTTTCCCGTCTCCAACAACTGCAGCGGAAGCAGAGAGACTTGAATCCATAGGGACAGGAGGAACCACCATATTGTTATCCTCTGATTTCCTGTTCAAGTCTGAAGAACTAGGCTTTTTAGAGACACGTGTCTCCTCCTCCATAGAGACGCTTTCGAATTTTCTCTCACTGGTTGAGGGACAAACAGTCTCCTCCCTTTTTGTCTCTCTTTGGTTTTCTACAGAACCTTCAACATTCGCCAGTTCAAAACTTTCAGGCTTTTGTTTCATAGATGCTGCATCCACTTTGCTAACTCTTTTGTTTCTACTCTCAGAACTTCCTGCAGGATTTTTTGTTCTGACACTTTTTTTGGGCCTGCTCTGCCTTAAATACTGACGGTCTTGGCAGGCTAGAAATTTTTTATTATGCTTTATAAACAAACTCTGAGGAGCAATTTCTTTAGTCTTCCGTTTCAGTGGAACTCCAACTCTCCCTGCAGCTTTACCATGGCTGCGCAATTGAGCTAGGCTCTCTGAAGAGCGCTGGGATAACTCAAATGCTTTGCGGGGTGCCTTCTTCAGCCCAAGTTTTTCTACAATTGATGTTGGTGCAGGACACTGCCGAACTTTCCTTGGAGGAACCACAGCTGGCATTGACCTGCCAGGTTGAGAATTTTTTGACGTACTTTGAAGTAGTTTTTTATTTTGTGCCGGTTTAAGCACTGGAGATTTTTTCGGACTTCTTTGAACAGTTCTTGCTACCTTAGATTTTGCTATATTCTTCCGTGGGCTCGCACTATTTTTCTTAAGGGCCAACTTTGAAGCTAATGACATGTTAGATGTAGATGGTTTGGGTTCAGTCAATTTTGAGTCCAGGGTGAAGTCTTTAGCAACAGTACCTTTGTCTGCAAAATTCTCCAGTTGATCTTTTGCATTTCCTTTACTAACAGATTCTTGCAGCGTTGAGTTAGTCACTTCTTTTGTATTATCACCTTCTTTCTGATGAGAAATGTCTTCTATCTGATTTTCCACCAAGTTTACTTCTTCGTCCATGTTACCATCACTTAGGTAATCCACATCATAACCCCACTCATTTATGTGATTTTCCAGTAAGTCATCTGAACTACTACCGTACGCCGACGCCGAAACACGATCTTGTTTATACTCCTGAGTGGCTTCCATTATGTATGCTTGAGTATCTTCCCAAACTGAAAAGACATCACCTTCTGTTTCAAATTCAAAGTACTGAGAGCCACAGTCTTCCTGTGCCAAGGGAGAGCTTGGAGCCGTTGGTTCAGAAATGCAGCTGGAAGCTGAAGGCTGCTTTTCAGGACACGCATTTTCATTCATTTTTTTTGTTTCCTCCTTGTCAGCCACACTTCCTTCTTCATCAGAAGAGTCTGAAATTATAATGACTTGATTGCCAAGGCAATCTGCGTCACAGGGAGACCTGGTACTCTGGCCATCATTGGAAGATCTTACAGCACCTTTCACTTTCCTTTTAATATCACATACATTATGATGTACTGAGCTTTCTTGGCTGGAATCAAAGGGAAAATTGACACTTTTGGCATATGCAGCTAGAGATAATCTACTGAGCTCTCTATCAACTTGTGAATCTGTTAAAGTATTATCTTCAGAAGCCACCTTCGCAAAATCCTCCTCTTTCTTCCTCACTGAATTGTTTTCTCTCTTGAAATACTCTGAAAATTTGAACAACCTGTCACTTGATTCACACTTCACTGACAGTGGCCTGATCTGAGAAGCAGCGTTGGATACATCCTTCTTGTTTTCAGGGCTAGATGAAACACAACCATTTGCTAAAGTTTTATTCATAAAAAATGTCTTTGAAATTTGACCTTTACGGTCATATTTAACCAAGTCATTTAAATCAGGCTGTTCCCGGTCTGAAGTTTGCATATCGGTGTCTTTCTTAAGCGCTGACTGCAACAATGAACTTGATTTTTCTTCAGTGGATACTTTTTTCACTGAGGTGTCACTAATCCCTGAAAGCAAAATACTGTCATCTTCATTTTTCTGCATAACAAGTTCATTTTTAGAGGAGCTAGAGCAATCCAGTGGTGTTTCTTTCGATACCTGTTTAGTGAGGACCAGTCTGGATTGCAAAGCACTGTTGACACTTTTCTCCTCTGTATGTTCACAACTCCTTGAAGATGGAGTATCAACAGAGATTTCATTTTCACACACAGTATTCACTCCCCGACGTTTAAGACCATCTTTGCTTGCACACAGATAGTCAGTACAAGACTTAGCTTGCTCTACCTCTGCTTTTGAAGCACTTGCTGCTACACTGCAGTTTTTCAAGTCGTGTGCCTTCGCTGGCTGCGATATTTTCGAGGGCCATTCAATTTTCTGTATCTCTTTTTTCAAATTCATGAGCCTGTGTGCATCTACTCTGAACTTTGAAGAAGAACTGGGAGACTTATTGCTTTCCTTTACATCTGAGCTGTAAACACGTTCTGGAGAACCAATACGACTTTGAGCAGCCACACGCATTGGTGTTAAGGGTCCTGCTTCACATTTGGTTTCCAGCTCTGCGCCTCTTCTGAAATCTGAACGCTGGGCATTTGGATTAAAGCACTGATTACCCATATCGCATTCCCCTCCTGCGAGTTCCTTGTTCCTATTTTCCTGAACTTTCCCACATACTTTTGCTGCCAAAGAGTTCTGTGGGCAGACATATTCCTGAGTTGTAGAGTCACTACGTTCCTTCTTAATATTCACCAAGAAGCCTTCTGTAGGTGTCCAGGATCTTGAACTTTTAGATGCATCTCTACATTCCTCTTCCCAGGCATTCTTTCTTCTAGTGAAAGGTTTCTCTTGACAATCTTCATCTCCATCTTCCTTCGGTACAACAGCAAATGGTGAACAAAGGTCATCTCTGCCACATCCACTCATCTTACATCCATCTCCATGTGCACTCTTCTCTTGCTTTACAGAAACGGTAGGCAAAGCTGTAGAGTTTGCATTGTTTCCTACAGACACAGAGGTATTTAATGCTCTATCCTTTATACTTCTTATAACTTGCTTTAAACACATTTGTAATTCCTGGGTTTCCTGGATGTTCAGCTGCCAGCCTAAAGACAGATTTCCTCGCAGAAGAAGATTGAGTTTGTCTAGGTATTGCTTGCAAAGAGCGTGCTGCCCAATTTGATAGCCTTCTCTAAGAAGGCTGCGTATCAGCTGCACACAGGCGTGCTGCACAGAGTTAGAAGCTTGTAAAGATACTGCTGATGAACCTCTCACGCAGTGTCCAGATGCTTTTTCAGTGCACCGTGTAAATGCTATAGCTGGAAGCTTAGTACATCTCACCACTGCTTCCACCCATTCTTGGGAGCTAATCCACAGCAGATGCAGGCACTTTTTATTTCTGTGTAGTTCAATAATCGACACCAAGATCAGGAGAAAAAATTCAGAGATTTTGTCACACTGCTGGATTCTTTCATTGAGAATCTCTTTGATTTCCGAGCAGAGGTAGTGAATGACTTCTACTATATATGCTACACCCAAGTCCTTGAGATCCATAAGAGACTGAACAAAAGGGATGAACCACAGAAACGTGCTGTCATGGACACGGATATCTCTGCCGATATCCGACTGAAGCACGTTAGCCAGCGTTTGCATTTCTTCATACATGTTGGGGCAGTAGTCTGGACAAATGGCAGTCTTCCACCCAGTATCCTGAAAAACAAATTCACCACACATCATCCTCATTATGCACACATGCACTGTTTAATCTGCAGGGTTTTTTCTAGCCATAAAGGTTACTTTCTTTCAAATATATGTTCATTAAACAGTAACATCTTTTATATCCTAATGTAAGTCAAGGTCTAAACTAAAACAATGCAAAAAACAAAGATCAAACTAACACACACACGAGGAACTAGTTTCCTAAACCGTAACCTATGAAATAAGTGTAAAGTAGTATTTCCTAAATCATTGTGAAACTCTCCAAAGATGAGGTTGTGCTGTACATAATTTAACCTCAGATAATAAAATATACATTTAAAGCTTTTAAAAAACATTTCATAAACACAACACGCAAACATCATGAGATCACCACACTCACAAGTATTTACTTCATAACAAGAAAAAAAATGGTGCCATTTTGGAGCACGGTCTATCACGTGGAAGTATATCAAGGTACACCTCATTACTCCATACTCAACATAGTAGTTTAGAATACTGAGAAACAAAAAGTAAAAGAACAAAATCAGCAACTTTTTTTTAAAACTTAATTCGGCGTTTTCATTGAGGTACCAATGTTTGTTTCAACCTTGATACGAACTTTCGGGCTTTAATATCATCTCTGCCTAATGCACAAACACGTTCTTTCCTCTTCCAGCCTGAAAATACCAGCTAACAAGGGACCAGACTGGCTGTTATTTAAGGCAACAGTGACATATGTTATTTAATACTTTTTCTTTACAACATTACTAGTAGAAAGAGAGTATCTTCCCCTCCATATTTTACATATGGTTAAAACTGACAGCGTCATTCAGTGATGAGAGTTCAAAGAACAGGGAAATAAAACATTTTTTAATACCTTTTGAGGCTTTTCTGTGTTATAGTTATACACAATCTGACTGCAAGTAACTATGTCATCACTGTGATCTGACTCCGGTTCAGATTTGGTCCTAAAAAGAAATACAAATCGTTATAGACTCCACACAGGTAACTGAAATGATAAGAAAGCCAACTGGCCAAGACACAGATTTCACTTTTCAGATACTGACCATGTGACTATTAGAACTTGTCAGTGATAAAACATACCTACAAAAAGATATCATATTTAAAATTGCAGAGCTTGTTCAACCCCTCTCCTAAGAGCCAGGGCAAGCAACTGCCTCAGGAAAAAGAGCTTTCTATTAAGCTGTGGATTTGATTACCTAGAATACCCACCCAGAAGAATCCTGTTTTCTTTGAATTTTCTATGCATAAATGCAGTTCAATCATGGCTACATACTCACAAGCAACTATCTGAACAGAACACTCAAATAGCTTGTTTAACTGAAGAAAATCTCCTTTAACATGCCTTCCTCAGCTATCTATAACATTCCATATATACATATCTGAACTGATCTATAACACAGACTGCATGTGTATAACAATACTGGATGTTTAAGACACGGTCACTCAAAGCCAATTCAAAAATATATCACAGAAAAACACTAAACAACTGCTATGGTTATCCAGGTGCTATTTTCCACCTACTTTTTAAAATTAGGCAGAATTTCAGTTTTCCAAAATAGGAGGAGTTCCTAAAGTCTTGGGACCTGGATTCTTATAAAAACCCTTAAAAGGGACCGCATGCCAGAAGATGGAGTTCAAGTTGATGTAACAAAACTCTGCTTGCACAGAAGCTATTTCTAGACTTCCTAGCAGTGTACTAACCAACCACTTCCCCACTGAACAAACACCTTACCTAATCAACTTGCTGTTCAATACTGACAATACCATCACTCAGAAGTGATTCAAAAAAATCCATTTTATCTTAGAACGTAAGTACATCGAGACAAAACCTTTCAAAAGAGTATCTGATGCCTGCTACGTGTTTTAAAGCATCCCTTTTCATTCTGTTATCCAAGCTATTAAAAAGACAGTTCCATCATTCTCACATATAGAACCATTAAGTAAATCTAATCTTTAGATTAGAAGCCTGATCTTTTACATTTAAGACTTAACACGAGATGAAAGTAAACTCAAATCAGTTGTCATCTGGAACTACAATAAAAAACAAAACTATGTCATCCACTGGAAAATTCTGGAATTCCCATAGTTTTACCAAGAGTCTCAGACATGGCAATCTTCATTAAACTTAAAGGCAAGTTGGTTATAGCACTAAACGAGCACTAAACAGTTAGCAGCCTTCCTGACTCAAGAAAAAACTCCTGAAAAGTATAACAGACTTCACAGTAGTCAAAAGAAGTGAGTATATCTTTTTGGAAGAACCTCACAATTTCAGGGGACCTACTTCATCTTTTCATTGCTTGACGTTGGTAACATCTGATCCTTCTCCTTGCCATCTCCCTCCCCCAACTTAAATCAAGGCAGCACTGATGAGAAAGCCAAGATGAAGCTACTACACTACCTGGTATTAAAATCATAAAACTGTTCTAGTCTCTTAATAAAACTGACCTCTTAAAGCTACTGCGTATATTTTTTATTTCATTGTTGTAGCTCGCACTGTTGATAATGGTTTGAAAGGCTTGGACAGGATCAATAAGCTGACCCCATACTTTAGATCCGAGCTGATCCAAAATAACCATGAAACAATGCAGCGCTGGCCAGAAGGGGTCAGTAGAATCATCTGAAACATAACAGTAACATTGGGGAGAGTTGAAATGTAAGAGTCCTGTACATTCTTAGACTAAGCTGAAGTTCTAAGTACTTGGTTTTCATTGATTTTTCTTAAATACTGATATAAAGACATGTATTCTAGTAAGTTGCAACTCTACTTTTTAATCCAGAAAAAGAAAAAGGATGAAAAAAACCCCCTCAACCTCACTTATCTGTACAGACAGACACTGCTCTTTATGCAGTTCTAAATCAACAGGAACCTGGATAACTACTACCAACATTTCCCAACTCTATGAAACTGATTCTTCCACACTGATTTTTGCAGTGCTGTGCTAAGAAGTGGTACAATTTACACAGCTATGACAATTTATACTTAAAATTTAAGCTAGAAGAAATTGGTTTTCCTTCAAGTGCATTCTTCCTTCTTCATATAAGATAATATCATATCCTCAATAAACACACTGAGCTTATAAAGAACTAGTTATTTAAGAGGCAGCCCTGGTCTTGAGCTCATGTGCCATTCCTGAGCTATGCCATGGCACGTGGGCTGCAAGAATGGCCCAAGAGTTACTAGTCCAAATTCTAAAGTCTAAATTCCCAGCTGCAAAAAGGGTTCCCTCAAACAGACGGACGGAGAAGTCAAATTTAAGCAAGTTGGGGCAATTCAGGTGGTGTTTCTTTATTTTAGGACTCAAAATCCGAACTCCATGCCACAGTGAAATGCACATTCCCATACGACCTGTACGTTAAATGAAAATAATATGGTAGAAATTATAGATTTGCCCTCTCAAAAGACAGCCTTATGCAAAGCACTGCCACCCCTTCTCCAGTTAAGAGTTTGTCTGAATGTCATTTTTCAAGGTTTGTCAGTATTGCCTAAATATTGTGCAATACTGAGTATCTTCCAGAAGATAAATAAACCTCAGTTAAAATCACCTCAGCATTACACTACTAAGAATTTACTCAATTAAACAAGGAAGTTCGATAAATCTGAAAAACAGACTATGAACTGTCTTAATCTCAGGAACAAAATTAGCTACCAGCTGCTTCTTTCTCCATGGTGTGAAGTATAGACTGCATGAAATCATTTTGTTTGTCTGGGCCCAGTAACAAAGAGTCCATAGCTTGTTCTTCCAGCACGGTTAGCAACATACAAATCCCTGTCAAAAAAAAAAAAAAAGGTAGCCTGTCCATATATTTGCAAAAATTTGTTATCATTTTCACCAGATCAAGGATCGCTTTCCAAATGCCTTTACCAGTGTAACACTTGACCAAAGACAAAGACATCAGCAGCAACAAGAAACTAGTGAAACATCACCTTACTACAGTTGTGCACTGTTCAATTTCCCCATTTGATGCCCCAAAATAAAGAGCACCTATGAAATAATAGAGCTCTGACTTGAAAGAAGCACTTAAGAGATGACAAAGACTACACGTACAAATTCATTTCTGATCATAAATACTCACCTAGCCAATAGTTCTTGTAGTTGGCAGCATCATATAAATGAGATGGCAGAAGGATGAGTTTACCCTTTTCAATCATGGAAGAGCTGTAAATATCTGGACTCTCAAAAAGCCCCAACTCAACAACTTTGAACAAGCAAGTCAGCACTTCCTGTAAGTCGTAATAATCATCCCTGTCAACCTTCCCTAAATTCCTTGCTGTTAGGACAGCCCATCGACGAATCTGTGATGGAAACAAAATAAATCACATATTAAGAAAAAGAAGAAATAAAACCACAATGTTGTGAGATTAGGAATCATTGCTACTACAAATGGGACAAAAGTATATTTTTACTGAAGTACAGTCTCATAACCGCAAGTAAGAGTTAAGTCTTTTTCCAAAATAACCTTAGAAACAGGCTTACTATACCTACCAAAAAATGTTGGTAACAAAGCAGTTAAAGTTCAGGGTAATATATACAAATAAATCTCCTTGGGATTCACTTGACAAAGGAGGAACATTTGCGTTCATACTTGCTTTATATAGTTTAAAAGCTACTGACCAAAGTTTTCTAATTAGAAGACAGCTGTACACTGTAACAACATGTTAAGCCGTGCTGTCAACAGAGGATAGGTCATTTCTTGCCTTGGTAGAATCATCCTCTGACCTAATCAGAGTTTGAGCAAGTGTAAAGTACAATACTACCAAATCTTCCGTTGTTTCTTAGGACAGCTTGAAATTTTGTACTCCACACTGGAGTCTAAGTAAGCCAGTCTGGGAAATGGTACAGCCACAACCTGCCCACTACCCACTGCAAATGTAACCTGCTGCACCAGGTGGGAAAATGAGAGTATGAACTCACACTCTCCTGATACAAACAAACAGCTCACTTGAGTTACAATTCAATACTCCTTTGGGAGTTACGCTTCCACACACAGACTTTTAAGATCACGCAAAGAAAGCCCTCAAATTTCCCTTCAGTGTTAACATAGTGCACGAAACCAGGATTCACTGTTCCAACACGCCCTCCCAACTGCAGCAGGGTGTACGTTCCCACGTTCTCTGTATTAACACTATTTTTCAGTACTCTTCCCTGTCGCTGATACCAGTTTCACTTCTAGGATGTGTACAAGTAGTTTGAAGGAACACCCTTCTTCCTGGATAATAGATCATCCTCAAAACAATGTAGAAAAGCAGGCACTCTGACAAAAGCAGGCACTGTTTGAGAACCTCAGGTCTTTTCTGTAATCTCCCAAATCCTTTTACCCAGCAAAAAAAATAGAAGTGTTGGTAACAACTGCAATTGCAAAGCCTCTCAACCTAGACTGTCCCAACATTCCAAAATTTCTCTTTTTGCTACTTTGTTAAGAGACTGGATTCAAAAAGAGAGCAGTCTCTATGTACACTAGTATGAGGGATACTAAGGATCAGGTGATACTTCTAAGTATCATAAAGAATGGAACTCTCCTGTTTACACTTTCACATAAACTTTCGATCTGACTGTTCAATATTATAATATCCTGCATGGATTCAGACACAGAGCAAGAAAAAAAAAAACACTGCATATTTTTGAGTTGCACCCACAGAATACACAAATCCATTAAAACACAATGCTGCCTCCTTGTAATGATGAAGTTCAGTGACAATTGAAGGGCATTTCGGAGGAAGTACACTGCTGACCATCTCTTCTTGCAAGTACATACGCTGTTCTCACTTTTACAGTTTTTAAGGTTCTGAATATTACTAAAATGTGAAAGCTTCTAGGGATGGAGAACAAACAGGGAGGAGGAAGGGGATTAATACAGCAAATTGCAAACCGTGGCCCACTCAAGAAGAATTCCATTTGGGACTACAGAGCATAAATTTACAGTTTGGTTCAAGATCTCTAACTTCCGACTTCTTGACTGACGCAAACAGTAAGGTGATTCTAGAAGTTACTGCAAAAGAATTCTCTCCTTCAGCAACAGTAACTATATTCCTACTGAAATCTCATATATACACAGTTAAAGAAAAATAAAGAAAATCAAGCACTTCAAATTCTGAATGCTACTATTCTCATATTCTTGTCAGTAAAAATAAGAATCTGTTCTGATGCTGTTTAAAACTAAGTTTTAACGGAACAGAAAAAGTAACTTACTACTTCATTCGGGTGAACCAAAAAGAGATAAATTCCTGGGTATTTCTCAAAAACCTGAAAGGAGTTGTGACTTTGTTCCATTCTACAGAGCACTTCTACACACAGCTCACCTAAAAGGACAAACACAGTTGTAGTAAGGACTAATTTATATGCTCACAAAAAAACCCTATTTAACATCAAAATAAATATGATGTGTATATATATACACACACACACAGATAAGTACTTTGGTTTAACTACTATTTGTTTTCTCCTCCTTCAGTAGAAACAATACCATGCCCTCCCGACTGTATACGATAAGATACGTACTGACTTTCTCGTGCAGCAGCAGATACGGGTATTTCAGTATTTCTAGAAGGGGAACACGCAGGTTATTCTCAAAATCTGGGCCCACATAGCCAGATAGCTGTGTCTCTCCATCCTCATTCACTATAAACAACTCATCATCTTCTCCAGCTTCTTCTCGCATGGATTTCTCAATGTGGGCAACAAGACGGGAGGTTTCCAGCTCCCACAGGACCTATTCGGTGGGGAAAAACAACTAATCAAAGTCCACTTGTGCAGAAAGCAATTAAGGACATTTATTACCACATGCAGAAACATTGACTAGACTTTCAAAACTTAAAAGCTTCATTTTGAAGTTTCTTTCCAAGCATGGTGTGAAACAAGGTTTTGACAAGGAATTCAGATTGTGTAAATCACAAAACTCCCACTCCAGAGTTAAGATGATAACGTAATTTTTAAAAGCGTGGTACTGAAAGCAGAAGCATCTTTATAATTCTCTTAAACATTCAAACTATTTCAATAATTATTTCAGGCCATAGGTTAGTCACAAAATTTTGTTCTACTGGCCAGTGTAAAGAAGTGCATGATACAGAAAATGATCGTATTCAGGAAGACGGGAAAACCAACGTTAAAATCACGCCTTCTCACCTATTTGCAACATACGAATGGAAGGAAGCAAATGTAAATAATGCAAACAGACTGACTGACTTGCTCAGTATCTGGAGAGGATTCGGTTCACTTAACATGATTCATCTAAAGTAACTGCTCCAAACCCCAACTAGAAACCAAGGTTGTTTCCTACAGTTAGTAGGAACAGAAAGGAATTTTCAGCAGTCCTCTCATTCCGCTTATTTCTAGGCTGTACTCAGATGGGACTGCCCTCCAGAGAAATCCAGCTGACTAATTTAAAGAGCAACCTTTTAGACATCTGTATTACGATCAATTAGCTATACATATTCGTTTTGCATACACACACAGATAAGGGAAAACAAGCTTCCCCAAATACAAAATTGGATACTAGGGAGAATTATAAAAGGCTTATAAGAAAGTTTTTAAATTTCTTTGATTGCTTTTAATCAGTCTCACACACTTGCACGATCAGACCTCTGAAATTCAGGCATAGTAGAAAACTACGAATGAGAAAAGAAAGCAAACAAAAAGAGGAACAAACCGAAAACTAAACAGAAGCCAAAGGAAGGAAGAAAATACATTAAAGAAATAGAGACGTTACTTTGTTTGGCAGGCGTTTGGGTTTTCTTCAGACGTCAAACCGTCACAGCATGAATAAAGTTCAAGCTATAATGTCTAGTCAGCAAGTTCCCACTACTGTTTTAGTTCTCACTAATTTGAATATATGCAAAACAAGAGGGTCTTGTCTTACAATCAGCTCTTTGCAACTCAATACAAAACTCACAGACAGTTAAAAAGCAAAACACCCTATTCCCAGAAACGAGTAAGACACAACCCCTGCACAAACTGCCCCCTACATGGAGGACGGGCCACAGAAGCCTCCTCTGAAGTTTCCCTTCCGTTCCGGTCCTCCCGCTCAGTAATGGGCAGAAGCCAAATCTCTTCATTACCTCATGCAGCCTTGGCAATTTTTCCCTTGCTTTGTGGTATTCAACCACACACTCCAGGCAGTAACAGAGATCATCATTGGATCCTTCAACATCATCCGGCGACAACTGTTTCGAAGCATAGCTCTTCAGGAACTCAGTGGTGTCAGAACCACTAGGTGTACACCATCGACATGTGCTCATTCTTTGGGTGGAAAGAAGGAGGAATTAATACAAGTGCAAAGACAGAAAGCAGAAAAATACTTCCTTCCAGTCACAACAGCATCTAATGTTCAAGTGTGAGGAGCATCAGGGTTTATCTAACTCATTAGCCGCATACACATATACACTCTTGGACGTTCTTATATCGTATGGGCACATACAATTAAACAAAGAAATAGAGATTAAAGCATTAAATGAACATTAGAGAAAAATGCCTGCTGAATAGCAATCATTAAAAGTATCAAAAAGAAGCCAAATTACATAATTTGCAAACTATGATCAACATGTGAAAATTCACTCTACATACAAACAAAACCTCCTCATCCACACAGAATGCACGCTGTCGAGAACTACAACGCTGAAGTTCATTACACGGTTTTACTGCTATCTGTAGAATCTAGGTCTAATAAGTACAAAATTTAATTAGTTTTTTTACTTAATCTCACACTAAAATTTATAGGTCAACAAATCCCTGTTGTCAAAAGCAAAGGATAGTTATGCCGAACTTTGTCTTCGTTATTACTATAGCTAGAAAGCACCGTAAAATTCTCACCACAGATTACTGCTTCTAAAAACAAAATCTCTTCACTAAGCAGTTATCTCAGATCCTGCTAACCTGAAAAACTCAACAGAATTCTAGAAAAGCATGAACACTTAAACCAACCACATAAAAGGAAAGATGGCAATTGCTTCTGTTATTCAGCATAGAAAGGAATGCAAGAGGGAAATCTAGATAAAGTAAAATCATACATTCCCCATACGTTACATACAGGGAGAAAAACAATTGTGGGATTTACCTTTTGAAAAGGAAACTATTCGCTGTGCAGGTGTGCCAGGTCACATGGTGAGAAGGAAACGAGCACTGCCCTGCAGGGAGGGAGGGGGGCCGTCACCTTCGAGTTTGCACAGCTAAGAGACATGCCCTCGAGTCCAGCACAGCTAAGCAGTGTCTTCAACAGTCCATCCCCTTGTAACCGAGTCTTGATGGTTTTCAGAGCTCTAGAGCAAAACAGTAACCGGTTCAGTTCACACGTTATAGATTAAGAATTGCTTTGGTCTACAGATTAAGACATTTTACGTTAAACACACAGTTACCGAAGCATGATTTGCAGCTGAATCCCTTTTGTAGTTCAAATGCTGACAATACAATATCTATCCCACCTTCTTCCAGCAGGAAGTGTAAAAATGTACCTACACACGTTAAGCAACGACACTGAGTTTAAGCGTCACAGACACACAAATCTCAGCTGCGAACAGAGCCCTTTACCCGCAACACTCTGCCACCGACACGCTCTAACAGCTGCTCGCTGATGAGCATCAGCACCTGCTCACAGAAAG